TAAAAGACGATTAAAATCTCATGATTCTGCTGAAATATTTTGTTTAAAATTGATAAACTTTGGTGTCAGTAACCCTATAAAACTTGCATTGGTATGGAATATGCTTAAATACCACTTTTCATCTTACGAATTTGATGCCCGACAGGCTGAACATGAGCCCGTCCAACAAAATAATCGCATGACGTTGCATTTTACCTCCTCAAAACAAGCTGAACAAGCGGAAGTGTTGTTTTTTTTATTTTGAAACACTGCTTGATTTTATGATCATACTTTGCACATATTTTGTTAAAAACGTACATTTTTGAAACGCACACAAATCTTTTCAGAAAGCTTTCAACTGGTCTTTGCATGAATAATGGTATGCTAACAAAATAGCTCTCTTAAAATTGCAACAATAGTAATAATTAGGAATAGTACATATACAGTTATTGGCGTCCGCGCCGAAGCGCGACGCCCGTATGGAATGAGAAAGGGCAATTGCAACTTCTCTAGCCTTTTCGTCGGCCATAATAGCCGGTTGGTATGACTGTTTATCAAAAATGAAATGTCGCGATATGTAAAATAAAATGAATACCGAACTGGATAATTTCGCAATGTAAACATATTCAAATGAAATTATCTATCCGTCAGTTAATCGCGCTCTTTGGTATTTTTATTGGCAACGCCGGTAAGCAGCGTCGTCTCTTATGGAATGCATTTTATTTTGGCCTATGAAGGAGCTGTTATTATTAGCAGTTAATGTCATGTTGTGTTAATTAGTTTTATTTTGATTCGTAAAAATCAAGGAAACAAATATTTTGTTCTATTTGTATTAAATAACTTTATGTAAAAAGCATGTGTATTGTGATATTATTTTCATGAAATTGCAAGCTCACTATAACAGCTTGTCCCTTAGCTTTATGGGCAATACTAAAACCCGGATTTCGAATATCGTTGTGGTCTAAATTGATGCCCGTATTCTTTTTCATTCCTTTATATATTTTCAAAATTTTCCTACAAGAAGAACGTTCACCGGCAAATGAGTAATAGGATAGGTAAAAACGATTACCCTTTTGATTTTATTCATATTACGTTTATCTATTGCACAGAATGATTGTTTTTACAAAGTGTACCAGTATCCGGATGTTGAAAGCTATCCGATTTTCTGCAATTACTGCTGTCATATGGCCATCTTACTTTTTATGAATATTTTACCATTACTTTGCATGGCTTAATAAAACTGACTCTGCAACATTTAATAATTTTGCTGTTTAGGGTGTTCTTTTGGGTTTCAGGTTTTCTCTATTTTAAGGGGTAGTCATGTACTCATGTTTACTAAATTATTTGTGTTTTTTTCTGTCTATCTTAGGTATTACTATTTTTGTTGTATAAAATTTACCAGTTGTAAGGTCATCAAAAGCATAGAGGCCCTGAGGAGTGAATATTTATAGATTTTATTTACTGGATTTATATACCTTTCACTGGATTTTTCTAGTTTGTTCAGTTAGTACATATCTACAGGTATTCTGCTACAGGAATCTTCTAATCACTATGTGAAACTAATTATTATTTTCTATGTGTTTGTATATAAATTGTTAATAAAATAACCTTTTGTAAAAAAGGAAAGGTAGAAAATTAAAGCTATGCATGTAGGTGCTCATGTCCATATATTAAAACAAAGAAAGGACATCCTGAAGTTATCAATTTTGAACACTTGATATATATGCAGTTAGTTATATAGTAAAGTCTAATGGAAGGTTAAAAGAGGGACAGTATTTGTTACTGTAAAGATATGCATTTAATGTTTAGACACTCACACAACTCAATCTTTATTATGTGATATAGATTATTTGAGATTTTTTTTTACTTTTATACTATACATTATAGTTTTCTTTCTACAAGATTATGAATTCCATCAAAGAACCAATGTTAATAGGATGTTATATTCATTTTAATGGAAACTGGGAATTATTAATGTAATGTGCATACATGTGTTTCTTAGTATATGGATATAAGCTGTATTTCTGTATTTAAAGACTTGTGCACTAAATTTTATAGTGGGTGATTTGTGCCACATGAAAACCAATAAAGTACAAAAAGTAACCGGGCGCCAGATGAAAACATGAAAAAAAAAATCTACCATAAAGTCGTTCGTTTGTTGCATTTTCATGTTTTTCGCCCGGTGCCCCTGATGCAAAATACAAATCAGCCTTCATAAAATTTCTTATCATAGAAAAAAGGTTAGTTTTTTATCTGTACAAAAAATAGATATTGTACGTGTATTAGTACAGTTATGTTCACTTTCAAATTGACCTGTTATAAATAATGGCACAACCAATAACTGTCTAAGGCCTTTTTAGTAAAAATAATTATACAATATATAAATTGTTATTTTGATTAAGACTATGAGTATGTAAGTTTTTTTCTTATTTGTTTAATTAAGAATAAATCTACCTGTTAATTTAAAAATCTAAAAGTATCTGTCACGGTTTAGAACTGTTCACTATTTAACTCTCGCAAATAGCGAGTGTATATATACAATTAAGTTATCGGAGTCAGTTGATGACCGGTTGAGTCAAGACTCAGTCGGAACCTGAAAGAACTCCGTCAAAATCCGTCGGAGTCGATACTTAAATATTTCATGTATCACGAGTTTCATGCTATTTTCAGGTTAATTGTTACCTATATAAAGGGAATTAAATTGAAACCGGGGTTATTAGTTTGGGATTGTTTTAGTTGAGTTTGTTGTGTTAAGAGAAAATTACATGTGAGGATTATTCAGGATATTGTCTGTAAAATAAAATAAAATAATTGCGATTATAAAATAAAGAAGTTAACAAGAAATTATTTGTGTTTTACTTAAAATAAAATAAATCCAGTGTGGCAAAGAAATAGAAATCTACAGTCCTAAAACTGAAAGTAATAAAAACTTCGCCACATTAACGGAGAAAATGTGTAAGCGGCCAGATAGCTCAATCACTACAGCCGCAGTACATTATTCTGTGAGTCACAGGTTCGAGTTCTGGTCAAGCTGAAAGTTTTTCTCATCCTCTGACTGATATAACGTGAGTTTAATTCATATTGTCTGTATAACTAGAATTTCATGCCAAATCAATATAGTGGGAAAAAATATGTTGTGGTTTCTGGACTGTTTCATTTTTAAAGAGAAAATGTTGTAACGGCCCGATAGCTCAGTTGGGGTTTTCTTGGAAGTCATCGGGTTCGAGTATGGTAGGTTTCAGTCAGGTTAAGAAGTGGTATATCAAACTGACACATGTTTGATTCATTTAAATGATTGTATTAAATTTGAAATGGACAAGGCAGTATTGCAACAATACTTTAGTCTACAAAAAGGCATTTTGATACAGTTGATCACACTATACTTGTGCTCAAATTGGTTTCTTCTCATGAACGTAAGCAATCTGTCCATAGGAAATGAATTTTTTTAACATGATTTAAGTCTTATATCTGATAGACAGCAGACTGGTGGGATGTGGCTGGTAACTCATTTACTACTGCTCTGAGTACCTATGAAGTCCCCCGAGGTTCATTTTAGGTCCTCTTTTATGCTTAATATATGTCAATGATATGTCTGCAAACCTAAGCAATAAGCTTTTTATTATATACTGATGACTCAGGTGTCCTTGTATTTGGTAAAATAAATCTGAAGAAATTCTCTCTTATCGCATGAGTCTTATAAGATTGGTTAATTGGCTATATATTGTCTTTGTATCTTGGCAAGACAGATTCTATTCTTTTTGTTTAAGCTTTTCAACTTAAACTGGACCTAGCCTCAAGGTCAAATGTAATGGTACTGCTATAAAGTACACAATCTTTTGTTAAGTATTTATGTGCAAAACTTGATCAATTTTTTGGCGTCGCTTTGATGCTTTGCATCAATGCTTTTCTTGTTAATCATTTTGTAATACACAGTGTTATTGCTTTACTTATAAATAGAATGATGACCTGAACATTGTGAAAGTCCGAAAATCTATTTTTAGAAGTAGTTTTAGTTTACCGAAAAGGCATTTGTTGCAAGAACTGGAAAATTTTTGCAGGAAAAAAATGCAATCATATTAAAACAAATTAAAAGCAATTTAGTAGGCATCTTTTTACGAATTTTTAATTATAGTATACATTTTCGGCGCAAATTTTAAATGAGTTTTTTATGGGTTTTTTGATAGCTTAAACACAGAGGGTCGCTAAATCAAAAAAGTAGTTTACCCCCCAAATAAAAAATTACAACTTTGTTCTATTTTTTACTATTTTGTTTATTTTTCCCAAAAAAAAATCCCCCTGAATTGAAATTTTTCAAATAACAATATTAAAGATAATGAAAAAACCCCTAAGTATAATAAAATTATACCCTATAGGGGGTAATTTTTGGGGTGTTTAGACCCTTTTAATTTTTTTATTCGTTAAATGATAAATAAGTTTTTGTGGAAAAAACATTTAATATTCAAATCTCTAGCATGCCTACCAAAGTTCATGATGAACAATGTCTTTCGTCCGCCCATTCATAAATAATATACAATACTTGTTAAAACCAATTAACCAATGAAAAGTTTATAAGAATATCTGGTCATCAGATGTCTACTAGTTCATCTTCACTTCCTGCATTTCTTGCTTGGACGCCCTTTGATGTCTTGCATCAATGCTTTTCTTGTAAAGACGGTAATACAAATCAGGGAATGGTCGGAAAATGATAATTAGCATAAATTATGGACTTCAGGCTGAAGTGTTCTTTACCATAAGGCCCGCACTGCTCTGTCACGTGTGACAACCGAAATGTAAAAATAATATACCCCACACAGTCAGGCATGATACACATGTAAAATGCAATGCATATGACACATATGAAACATTGAGAATATATATTTCTCATCATATGTTGTTTATCATACATTTTTAACCGCAATAATGATTTTACTGTTTTAGTCATGTACAGCGAAGTAGGTATATTGCTATTTACTCAAATATAGAATCTGAGTTGACATATTTTTATTTATATTTGTAGGACTGTTGGAAGAGAATTTGTATTTGGAATTTTCGATATGGTCGGTAGCTGTTGTCATGGTTCCAATAATAAAATATCTGTAGATATCACAAACACGTCTCCAAACCGTACGACAGTCAGATTGCAAATTCCATTCCTCAACAACGATACAAATTTCTATATTCCTACTGGAGAAAAGAAAACTGTTCTAATTGATCCTTCAATACAGCGTGACGGTACGTTTAAAGATTCTCGTGGCATTAAAATATCTGCTGATCACGACATAAGTGTTCTTGTGACTAATGCATTTAACAATTCTAACAATATTGATTCATATAACATTTTACCAATAACTGAGCTAGGTAACGAGTACAACATCTATTCCTATTTAGGAACGGTCAACTTCAGAGGAAGTGAAATGCTTGTAGCTGCAGTAAAGAACAACACAAAAGTAACGTTAATGAATCAAACTGATGTCATTCAATCAATCATATTGAACGAATTTGAAATATTTCAATACCTTTACAGCCAAGGTGATCTTACAGGAACACACGTGAACTCAGATAAAAATGTTTATGTTGTGAGTGGTTCAACACACACGGGTATTCCGTCTGGTTCTACAGAATACATTGCTTCTGAAATATTTCCCGTGTCATCATGGTCAAACAGTTACATTATACCACCAGTGCTTCCAAAATCAGCTTTTATAATAAGAATAGTAACAAACTCTTCCAGAGATGTGACTTTAGCCAATTCAACGCGAACATACAAATTAAATCCATCTTCTATAAAGGACCAATACTTTGGCACTGAAGCAGTTGTAGCAACATGTGAAAGCCCGTTTTCCGTTACACAATATGGAGTGAATTATGCATATGGCAGCATAGCCGGCGACCCTTTTATGGTAGCGGTACCCGGTGTAGATACGTATATTAATGAGTATATTTTCACAGTTCCGCACGAGTATTACTCGGTGAAATATCATGCAGCAATCATCGTACCGAAAACTGGTATAGCTGGCCTGGTGTTGGACAATCGTTCGATACAATCATATAACTCAGCAGCTATTACAGTGCCATCACCTTTTGACGAATTTAAGATTTTCACTTTTCCTATCAATGAAGGCTACCACCACTTCTATCATCCAGTTCGCTCGATTAAATACGGCGTGTTTATTTACGGACATGGCAATTATTTGAGCAACAGTTTTTATGCTGGCTATGATTTAAGACGTATGTAACATTATCTTACATCATCTAAATATATGTTAACATGTCAATGATCATCTTTAACCAATACAATATCACTAATCTTTAAGAATGTTTTTGACTTTTATATGGTTTGAACCAATATAGATAATAAGTTATTTTAGCTATCATTTTCATCTTAAATTTTAATAACGGGATAAAAGTATTATAGTAATAATACTAAGTAGTTTGATCCTCCTTGAAATTTATTGTGTGTTTATTATCTTATTTATCTGCAGGAACAAAAATGTGTTATAGTTGTGACGATCTTAGTCATATAGATCTTTGTGATACAGTGAAACAATGTAACAGTCAAGAGGTATTTGTACCAATGGTGAAACAGAATCCATTGACATGACATTTTTAGATAATTTCTACCCTTGTTTTTATGTTACCCTTTTTCGAAGGATTGTCCCATATCAGTATACAAAATTATTAGACTCCATATCGAAGATCCAAAATAAGTAAAACAGACGCTCTGCAAAAATGCCGTCGAAGTGAAGCATACATACAAACATGTTTACATGTAAACATGTTTAATTTCAACTTCAGTTTAGTTATGAAGGTAATCGATCAAAAATTATTGATGGCAAATAATGAATAAACACATATTTATAAGCTGGAGTAACTTATTAAAATTTTAATCACGCTTAAGTGAAAAAATATTAACAATTTAAAAAGTTTAAGGGTTTCGGAAACAAATATGTACAAAATGATGTGTATATTTTACTGTTATGTTTTAAAACGTTGTCCATTTATTGTTATTAAGGTATGTTATGTTGAACGATACAAAGACGGCGGTCAAATCAAATACAAATCAGGATGTTTGCCACAAAACGTAAGTATAAGTTCAGTTAACAATTTTAACTTTTTTAACATCTTAGTACATTTGTCTCAAGCATGATTGTTTTGAAATATTTTGGCTCATCTTGAGACATGCAGCTTTAACATTGCAATATTAACAAAAATACAATATCAAAAATATCAATATCATATTCACAATGATCATATTCAAAACGGCTTTGAGGTTTTTATATGTGTAGCTTTGTCTTCATAATGGCCGAGTTAAACAGCCAATCAGAATTTCCAAATCTCACATGACTGATTTTTCTAGTAATGGCCGTTTTTTGTGAATGTTATTTTTCAGAATAGCCGACTTTTGTATCCATAATGTCGACCCTAAATTGGATAGTGTTAAATCGCCCAATATAGCAGAGTTAATGAATAATACATACATGATAACGTTAATACGTTTGTTATACATTAACTCTAAAACAAATCAGGTCTTAAAAACTTTTCTTATACTAACAGGACATTTCCGTTTCAGACTTGCGAATCTAAACGGAATGAATCAACATATTCGGATGGCATTTGTTTTGAATGCTGTTGCGGTAGTTACTGTAATAACCAAGGATGCGGTGAAAATGGTAATTTATGCACGATAAAATATAAGTTGATTCTAAATTTAAAAATCATCACGGTAAATCTTGGTACAATAAGCTCCTTATTAATGATACGTATTAAAAAACATGTATAACATAAATCAAATGCATTAGTGTTTACATGTCAAACGAAAGAATATTATCAAGTAAATACAATAATGCACTATGCAAAATGCAATAGGAATAAATCGTAAAATTTTAAATGTTGCGATGGACTCAAATGAAATGATAATGTAACATTCGAGAAGGCAATACATGGAATAACCTTTACTCTTATTTTTCATATTTAAGGAATCCCTAACAGAGATAAACGTGGGCCTATCTGCTTTGACTGTCAACATGTTTCCTCTCCTGACGAGTGTGTCAACATTACTCCATGTGATTCAAACCAGGTTTGTAAAATAGACTAAAATATTGTTTTAAAAATTGTTTTGAGTGTTTCATTTACATTAAAATTAAGAAATATTAGTTTGTTTTTATAGCAATCCAACAATGAAAATTGTTATGACATTTTGTTGCTATTTCATAACCTTTCAGGTTTGTCGCATTGAGGAGTTCAAATGGTTTGATCACTCGCACTACAAACTTGGTTGTGGACACGGATTGGTTAGCATTTTTTCTCAACACCTCAATTCGTAATTTGCAGATTTTCTTAGATTGATATTGACATCGAGGTTAAAGCTCACAAAACCTTATATCATATGTTCCTTATCTGGATGGTCGTCCATTAAATTGGAAGTACATTGTATTAAGATTCTAGTGACGAATTCTCAAATAAATAAGTATAATGATTACAGTAATGTCTAGTTTCAGTATATACTAGCAAGCTGTATGGTATGATATCTGACAATAGAGTTCAGACCATTTTATACAACCTCCTCTATCAATTACAATAAATCATTAACTGTATGATAGAATTATAAAAATATATTTCATGAAAGAAAATAATTTTACGTTTTCTGTAGTGTGACCCTGTCAGCAGGAAAAGAAGTCATGTGTTTAAGAGATCTACACCAGTATGTCAGTCATGTTGCACTGATGACTATTGTAACAAGTACTGTACAGCCTCTACACAAGATCAAACTGGAGCAGTGATAGTTGGTACATGTCTTACGTTTTATTTTATTTTAAGTTTTAGAATGTGTACTACAAAGACTTTACATAAGCTTGTAAACAAACTTTTCAATAATTGTGTTAATGAATTTATTCTTAAAAGTAGAGACTTTGTATTATATATTTGTATACTCAACAGTTATATACTGAAGTACATTTGATTGTTAAAAAAGTTTTTTATTCATATGATCAAGTAGCGGACAATTCAAATATCGATTTTTAAGTGAAAAGAAGAATAAAGGAATTGATGTACACTGACGGACTTTTAAAACGCATCAGTTGGGTTTTTGCTTCTTTTTTATAGGGAAGAGCATATTTGATTTTTTTTACAATTTTGCATCACTCAATTCTTGAGTTTAAGTCGAAAACGCATGATAACCCGCATTCATAAAAAATCACAACCGACCTGTTTTATTCGCATAGTCCCAAATCTCAGTCTTGATCTCGCTGAAATTGTTTAAGATCATGTCCCTCCTCTTGGACGAGGAAGTGTAAGAAAGTCGGAGGAGGTTTTTTGTTTGTATTTTTTCAATTAATATTCTTTTTAATAAATTTTTAATACGCTTAATGATGAGGCATTCAGTATTGCGTGTATAACTCATTAGCCTGAATACAAGCAAGACACCTTTGCCTCATTGGCAGAACTTTTGGAGCAATTGACTGTTGTGGAATATTATTTCATTCTTGCACTAAGGGTTGTTGAAGTTGTGCTACATTTCGTGAAGGTAGTACACGTGCATAGCAAAAACCCAACTAATGCGTTTTCAAAGTCCGTCAGTGTATTTGCAGTTACTTTATAGTCGTCGTCCGATGTCAAAGAAAGAAAGTTTTTACTTCATTCTTGATATTGACATATTTCTTGTTTTCAGGATAGCAGTAGATGTCTTGCGTCTCTTTGTCAGCGGTAATTTGGTCCATTTATTGAATAACTCTGAACTTTGTTTAACATTCATATTTGTTCAATAATAAGACACTGAGCAGAAAGCGTTATGTTGTATTCTTTTTTTGTAAACTGGGCTCCATATTCTATTCTATAAATTAGGACGATCAATAAAATGGCGTATCATTATCCAAGAAATGGCATTTTACTAAATTTCATCATAAAGGCAAGCTTTAGTATCTCTACGAACAATCATCTGAAAAGTCCAGAGAACCAAAGAAATTTACGTTCGAACCCGAATTTTTTTTACATTTATTTATTAAATATTGACCATATTATCCACTTCAAATATAATCAAATACATACATATCTATTAAAGAATATCCCAAAAATTATCATCAAAGCTCATTGTTTCCATTTATGTCGTCGTTGTTGTTGCTGTTGTCTCTTTTAGGAAACATACGAAGTAACAATTAACATATCTAATCAAGCGGCAAATTTTACAGAAAGTACCTGTTATTCAAAACTATCATTTCGGTTTCTTTTTAAAGAAAGACAACATTCTTTTTCAACATACAATCAAACGCCTACATTCAGCATGTACGATGTTTCATGGCTCGTCGACGGGTGTGTCTTATGTCTTTCCTTTAAGATGACGGTAAATAGATTAGAGCCGTCATGTCGAGTGGGAATTTTATCATGTTGACCTCGAAAAGAACGTCGTGATTTTTGGCTCTACGTCTGTACTAGAAAGTATAAAATGTATCTGTAAACCTATATAATAAAGTGTATGTACAGTTGAAACATATTAAATTTAAAACATGTATAAAAATGAACGCGCTATGAAGTTTTAATTTTAGTACGACTATATGTAGAATAGGAAGAGCTATGTCCACTGATCTTCAGCGTTTATAAACCCTTCCTTTTAGAAAATCGAGTCATCTTTTGGTTGAAAGACCAATATTTTTTATTTGAATAACCAGTTAATGTTGAATGGTGTAATTTGCAATTTACTTCTATAAAACTGCATTGTACTTTCTAAATTTCATGATCCAAATGATGATATTTTGCTCTTGCGATTATCAAATTATTTCTACATACTTAATGAAACACTTTACACGTTAGTTTTACCTTTGAAATAGTAGGTCACGCAATTTGCCATAGTCCGTCGATAACATCCATATTGACAGGAATGAACAATTTCCCAGATTTGTCATTTTTCACGTTTATTATATTCTTCTATTCATCTTTGGAGAAATAAACATTTAAAAATCATAGTCCGCATACTCATTTTTGTTCCGAAAAATAAATGAATATATTCTATTTATCTTAAAGAAAATTTAATGTTTGCATTTTTATCAAACACACCTTAAGGCCTCAACAGACGGGAGGAATTTTGAAGTACACCAATTGAAACTTAGAAGTACACACAAATCCTAATATATGAAGGCTACTATTTCTTGAATTCGTACAACTTAATACTAGATTTACAGGATAGGACATGTTCTATTTTGTAAAATAGAGAAAATAAGATTCCCTAAATCGGCAAAATTGAAAATGTTGCAGGCTCAGTTTGATTGAGCATATTCATATACGGTACTGCCAAGTGCAAACTACCGTCTTCCACGTCCCATAGCACGGGCTTATTTAAACACGAAATGGCATTATTTTGAATTCAGAAACATCCGCAGATGTGTTCATACGGCCGTTATCATGGAACCTTCAACGTGACACTTCCGTGCCATTCCATGAGGAGCGGCGTATGGTCCCCATTGGTAATAAAACGTGTGCCCTAAACGAGAAACTAAACAAAATGGAATTTTGAAAGGGAATCAGAGGTTATGAAATTCTTGTTTTACAGACTCACACAATGACAGATGACAAATTTCCAAATTACCACTGATAATGTGTTGAATAAATGACATTTCCGAACAATTAACGCTAAAATGTAATAAAGTAGTAAGATGGTATAAAAGGGCGTTAAAAGAACTTGTGGAATGCTCGAATGCCAAATTAAATTATTATAGAAAATTTGTTGTTGTTGTTTTTTTTTGTTTTGTTTTTTTGTGAAAAAAATGGAGAAGTTTCAATCATTACTCATGAAGAAAATAATTTTCACCGAGAGACCAAAACATAGAACAAGTTTTAGGGTTCTCAGTTATTCAATTCATTCCAGGATATAGTAATGTCCTAAATGCTCCCTCCATACCATACTCGGCCTAGCACTTAATCAATCGTCTTATAAGGCAAATAAAAACAGTTATAGCATTTATACATGTTACAGTAATAGTAGAGAATAAATTATGTAAAGGATTCATTTGGAGGGAACGTTTTGGAAGAAAATCTAGTATAATATAGAATCAAGTGTTGAATTGCTTTGTAAATTGTACACCATATCCTCAATTAGTGTTGTGCAACTAAATCCTACCGTCTGTTTAGGCGTTTAGTTGTAACAATTGCTCTGGTGTAATGTAATTCATTTAAAAAGTGTATTTTTTATTTTATCAAGTATTGTTTTATTTCTTCTTGCTTTGAAATATATTGAAATAGACTACTACACTGACGTAATGTTGTAGCATTTTTTTATAAAAAAGAATCAAAATATATTTTCAAATAATAATCGTCAGACTGTTCCGAAAATTAGCAGCTGATTTTCGAAGATGTATTAAAAATTATTTTTATTGTTTGCCTCTGTTGTTTAAGTTGTTTACATTGTACAGGTGCCAGTTTGCCGTCCTGATCAATTGGTTTGTACGCCCGGGTACATATTGTGACGTGACAAAGATTACGTCGCAGTATAAGCGCATCGATTAAAAATGATTCTTTTTTTTTACTGTTAATTGTTTTCATTATGGATGAATGATCAATAGAATGTTATATTCTATTGCTTCTTTACAAAATTTATTGGAGGGATTGATTGAAATGATATTTTATTTGCCAAAGGCTCGCATACCTGTAATATGATTTTATTTAATTCTTTCAATAAAATTCAGTCATTTAATATCCTCTTTATAAATATTTTCGTTTGGTACTTGTAATTATATACAAAACAAGAAAATCGCCATATACGTAATACTGAGTAAAATGAATACATGTAGAATAATCCCTATCTTTTAGAATGTCATAAAAATGGGCGTTTTACAAAAGATAGAATCAATAAAATGTAATGTAAAATATCGATTTGTACAGATAAAACTGCATTCATGTTTTATGTTTTCATATTTCACATAATACGGCTGTATAATATATCGGATAATATGACTTTGTTTGCATTATATCATCATTATTGCGAGCTTAAACAAATACTATGCTACTCTAAACCGTAGCAAAATTTAAAGGTTATTACCAACTCGAGCGTACACATTTTAAGATATGATATAATTCGGTCGGGATTAAACGTCTTCTAAAACAGACAGGCAATAATTTTATAGCACTTACGTTATGGATTGTAAAATAGAAACCAGAATGAAATAAAAAAGAAATGTCCAAAGTTTTGGAAAGCGGTTTTGTAGAACAAGTGGTGGAATAGTTTAATTGTTTGCTGTTTTTTTGTTGTTTTTTTTATAAAAGAAATAATGCACTTTGTGATTCAGATGTAATGGATGTATTTGGTGGATTAGATGCAATGGTTGAATGTATTGTTGTAGATACCGATTTTAAATTTGAAGAGATTGACTACGTGTTAAAAAAATAATGATTTAACCTAATCGCATTTTCAAACAACCAATTGTTACTCCAACTGTTGTAAATACCACAGTTATTAAATGATAATATTAGGTTTAGCTAAAACATTATGAAATGTCCAAATTTATAAATCGGAGGAATCCTCCGAATACAACATTATCCCTGCGGACAAGCAATATTTTAGAACATTTACAATATGGGATGTCTGATAGAAAAAAGGTTAAAATTACTCAACAATTGGGCCAATATTTAGAGGAATTCTTTGTAAAGACAAAATCAATAACAAGTGGTGGAATGGCAGAATCGTCTAATATACCTGGACAGAGTGATTCAGATGTAATGGGTGTAATACGGGGAGTTATTGTAGTAGATACGGATTGTAAAGTTGAGGAAGATTTAATCACAATCAAAGCGGTAAGAACGGGTTGTTTACCTGGTTATTGCAAACTTAAATTCACATCGAACCAATATGACTTTTTTATGGCAAACAAAGAGAATATACCACAGGGATATTACGATATATTATTAAAAAGCACACAAAAAATGTACGTTTCAAGTACACTTTTTTGCAAACATGGAATACCCAGAAATCTAAAGCCTAATGAAAAGGGAAAAATTGATATTGAATTTAACGGACCTGCGATTACAAATTCCAATGTGGACTATGTGCAAACATTTGAAATGCAAACCTGGCCGGAAGAAGCCAAAATTTGGAAAGCACGCAAGCGATCAAATAATTGGCCAAGTATCAGTCTACTGAATAGACTTGAAAAAGAGATACCATGCTATGTAGCGCCTATTGGAAACAAAAGATCGCCTGAATTTGATTTAGAATGGAGACTTTCTTTTGTAGAACTTGAACGTGAGTTGATATGGAGTTTGAACGATACACAATTTAAATGCTATATTTTCTTAAAACTATTGAAAAATCTATTAAGTGAACATCGGATATTAGAGAATATAACATCATATCATTTAAAGAATGTACTATTTTGGACGTGTGAAACGCTACCAGAAAGTGAATGGTTGCATCGAAATCTGATCTATTGTGTCAAAAAATGCCTGAAAATGCTCGAAGTTTGTATCAGAGATAATAAACTAGAGCACTATTTTATTCCTGAAAATAATTTATTTCAAAACATACACTTTAAACTGAAAAGTAATGACGATACATTTCGTATGCTTCACGGCAATATAAACAAAATAACGACAATGTTAGCAATATATTCTAAACAAGAGTATCTGTATCACACGCCGACGGACATTGTTTTCTATTCAGCACTGTTTGAGATAATTTGGACATATTGTTCGATGTTGTATGATCCTACAATTGTAAATTGTTGTATCAAGAGATTCCCAGAGGCCGAGATGCTAGCATCATGTATAAAGATCATACAAGCCGTTACCAAATGGCGGAGAGACAGGCTAACAAAGGTCTTTGATCAGGGTTTGAGGCACACAGCTACACTAGTAAAAACGACTGTTAGCATGATAAATGAAGGACAAGATATGGACTTCTCACAAAGCACTCTAAATATAGCTATAGTTTACTTTAAGCATGAGTTATATGATAAAACTATAACTGCACTTAAAACTCTCTTTGCAGATAAATCGAAGAAAGTGTTCGTATCTTGTTTAGGACAACCAAGGTTTTTGTGTTTTGCTACTGGTGAAATGAGTGATTTGACCTCAAAAGCAAGGAATGTAAATATACATATACCGGATGAGAGAAAAAAAGTTGTCTATCAGTTTGTTACAGAGTATAATTTGAATGATATTTTACCATACCCTTTTGCCCTTCAATCATATATAAATTCAAAAAGAGACACCTTTCGTTACAACCCTGTGGTGGTTGCATATTATCTTCTCTGTATGTCTTACTTAAAGCTTGGTCACTTGGATAAGTTTAAGGACGCGTTAATGCGATTTAAACATGCAGTTAAATTTAATGTAAATAGGAAAGATTTCTACTTGTCACTTATGCTTTTAGGTAATTGTTTATACTGTTCAGGTGACATAAAAGCTTCATATAAATATTTTGCTGAATCTATGAAAGTTAAACCGTCTGTATTAAATGCTGCGATCTATCACATAGCATTTATTGTAAACAATTTGTGCAGCGGAACTCGCTGATATGTTGATTATAAATTTGTAAAAGAAGAACACTCCCTGAATATTTTTTTCTATAAGGGTCAAACCGTCTGAATTAAATGTCGTTGCCTATCTCATGGCATTTATTGTGAACAATGTTCGCAGAGAAAGTTGATAAAACTTTGACAGCAGAATGTTTTTTTTCAAAGTATTGTTAAATTATAACCTGCGAGTTTTGCTTCATAATAAATCCGTCTTGTCGTATGATTGTTTTTTATGTCTTGAAAATTTACCATAAATCATTTACTTACTTCATAACCAAGTACTCTCATTTTGTTTATACACAACATTTCATTGTTAAATACTTTGTTAATGTAGTTTCTATTGTTTCTAAATGCTGTATCCTAAAGACATTGTTAAAAGCTGAATGCTTTAGTAGCGACAGCAAAAGCCTTCATAAAAACACATCAATTTAATTTGCAGAGAAAGGATTTAGTCAGTGCATTCATTAAATGCCGCCCTTCCTTTTTGATATTAGTTTAGTCATTCATTTCCAGGTCTCAATTATTTGCCTTTTAAGCATATGCCCGTATTTTAAAGCAGCACACCTCTAGATTCACGCTTATTTTCATTGAAGTTTTGAAAATGTGTTTCAATGTATGATATTGTGAAATATTGTGAAATAAGCAAAATGCAATTTATACATCATCAATGGCACTAAATTACCAAACATGTAAATGTAAATAACCAAAAAAAAAAAAGGTCAAAACATGACATAAATAGCCCTTACTGCGTTAGTAATGCAGTAGAAATATAGTTGTAAATACTGAAATTAGTCATTAACCGCACATAATATGTAAAACATTTCTTGAATCTTAAATCATTTCGCTTTTCCTAAAGTCGTAGTACATATTGCTCAAGTTTGATTTTATTAATTTTTTTTTACACATCTGGAGGCATGCAGCTTTAATTTCAGCTAGCGTGCCTGAAATAAATCTTGTCTTGTACGACGTAGCAAGAATGTTGAACAAAGAAATGTGTGCCATACCTTTTATCAGGCGCGTGGAGACATGTATAGATTACAAAACGTGTCTTTAAATGTTATTACACATTCTTGGAACTGTCGGAACAAAAACTTTGAAACCATGATAAAATATAGAATATAATTTTCATTAAGCGCCTAATGCATACACGTACTTGTAAATTATCAGTCAATTACTGTTCCCAATGATAAGGGAGTTGCCCATATGAAAATAAAACTTAACTACACATGTTTCAGTGCCAGAAATATGAACAAACTTTTTTTTGGCGTATTGATGATAGTTATACAATAAATGTAAAACACGAATGACCCACTTGACCTGTGACTTTAAGACAATAAAATGGTAGTTGCTTTCATCGTCTACAAAATCAAAAACGAAACTAATGCCGATGATATGCCGAAGAGAGATGCTAGGCGGTATTACGCCCATAGATCATCTTCAAGTTCCTTGACTCTAGGTTTATGCTTTTAATAGATAGTAATTTACGGCGACGACTTGGGTAAATATTTCGGCCTGATGCCAACAAAATTAATGTTAAAACAAGAATTCAATCTAGTAACCTTGCTATTTGATATTTCATTTGATCTATAAGAATCTTAAATTTCCCAAAATGTTATACTAGTTTCGGGAGTACCTACAGCGGGGGCAAATATGTTATACTCTGAATGACAATGCGACGAGACGATGCGGCAAAGTGATGGGGCGATAGGCTTAACGGACTAGATGATTCGCCGAAGCGACAAGGCGATAAGATAATGCACACTATTCATTCCAAATTCGCGTATCGTACCGTCCTGACATGGCGTCGTTTGGTATCGTTTGCTGCTTCAGCTTATTATTTCGTCGCATTGGCATTTAAGGTTTAACAGAGGTAGTCGTCAATGGAAAGAAATGATGGCCTAAACTTAACACATAATACTTTTACAGCTTTACATTACCTGCCTTACTAATTGACACGTAGTGTAAAGTTCAAACCATTTTCAAACTGTTTTATCTTGTAAACAAAAGTTCTCTTTGAAACAGATCAAACGTTAACACTAAATGGATCTTTTGATATTTATTACCTTTTTAGTTTTTGAGAACTTCACCATACCAAGCTAATATACTCTATTGAGATAATAAGAAATATACAATTATGTTTTATTTTGCTGCTGACAGAGGACATGGTATTGTCAGAAATTTGCATTATTCTTAAACTTTTTTTGTCAACGAAACAAAAATTTAAGGGTAACCTATTATCAAAAAATGGTTGGGATTTTTTTTTTTGTTTTTTCTTTTTGTTTTGGCCCCCAAAATCCCCCAAAAACGACAAAACGATATAGGGAAAAAAATGAAAACCATCCTTAGCCAAAAACGGGGCCCGAGGGATTAAAATAGGAATTTTAAATTTCATGCCCCTCTTTTCGCTTTTTGTTAAATTTATCCCTCGTTTTGGGTTGAATTTGTTTTGGGCCTTCCCTTGGGGTACTCTTGTCGGTCTTTTTCTGCAATATGTGTTGTTTCCCCCATCGTTTATTGTTTATTTTTTTGTTGTTGCTTCAGTAAAAAAAAAGGACACCCCAAAGGGGACGGGGCGACAAGGGGTTTACAAAAGGAAAACTTGAAAAAATCAACGAACGATAAACCCTGACGAGTAAAATCGATACCCCAGAAATGGAAAGAAACGAGAAAACATGAAGGTAAAATAAATCAAAGGTTTGCCCTCGTCTTGTTCTTTTGTGCCTTTAGTCGCATTTTGGTTTTGCGGTTTTCAACGAGAACCCCCAAATCCCCCAAAAAAAACCCCCTAGATATCAGCCAACGAAGGGGAAAGAGAGCTGTCTTTAAAATTTACTTTTCAATTAAACGTGATTTTTGAGACGCATTCATTTCTGTTTGTTTTAAAAACTAAATAAGTCTTTTTAAAGTTCTAAGGGACGAATGATGATGACAAATGACATTCAATGGACGATTTTAACTCCCTTTTATTGTCTTTTTATTACAAACCCCTGAAATGGGCGAATTTGCGTATCCAAAGAACAGGGGTTTAAATTTTTGACGTGTTTTTTAAATTAAAAGTATTATCCATTAAAGGTATTGTTCAATAAAAAATGTTTTCTAAAGCATAGTGAGGAAGCTATTAGCTAGCTTACGGAACGTCGGTGGTTCTACTCAGGTGCCCGTTCGTGCCTGAAATAATGCATGGAGGGGCACCTAAGGTCTCCTCCACCAGTAAAGCTGGAACGTCGCGATATGACCTATACTGTGTCGATGTGCCGTAACCCCCCCCCCCCCCCCCCCCCAAAAAAAAAAAAAAGTAAAAAGAAAACAGGAGTAGTTTCCAAATATGACCATGAATTAGCACTGTATTTTTAAATATAACAAACTTTACATCTAAATTACCTATGCCAGCAATAATATATTTTCAAAGTTATAAGAGCGTACGAAAAGTTGAATCGAGCTTAAAACTCAGTGAATATGCTTTTGTAGTTATACAGAAATGGCCAAATAATAAGACGTACAAAACGTGATCGTATAGTTAATCTTCTAGATACCCAGGATCTCTGAGTTCTTATTGCCAAAAAGTGGCTAAGATGGTTTTGTATGGACGCTACCTTCTAATTAACACAGTAAAACACAAGACTTTATAAATTTAACACTAATAGATTTATTGCAACAATGATGATAAGATTTAGGAATGAATAGGCTGAATGAAAAAAAGGCTGAATGAACCAGAAATCTACAGAATAAGATAACTTATTGAAAGAGAATTTTAATAGAGTATTTCTTTTAAGTTTTACCCTAAGTTAATAATATTTTAGATTCAAATATTGCCAACGCTTTAAAGTTTTGAAAGGTGTCAAACCTCTAAAGCTTTGAAGTGAATTAACCTGTCGGCTAGTTCCAGACTATAAGAAATAGCAGAAATTTCACGCATTTATATATATCTTTTTGTAACAAAACCCAATGATTTACTTAACTTACTATTGTCCAAATATGAAAAAAAAAGTTCAAAATTTTAATTCCAAAACACAATAAAATGTTTTAAATTTATAAATGCTAAATAAAAAAATCGTAAAAAATTTATGAATAGGATTGTAAAAAGACGCTAATATGTGATTTTAAAATTCTGAAAAAAGATGTATCCCATTCCAGCAAAAACAGGAAAAATTAATCCCAAAAACAATTTCCAGAAACCCCCTTGCTACTTATCTTTTTAAACAAGTCTATTTAAAAAACCCTAGATCGATTAGAAAAATTTTCAGATTTTGTTTATCAAATAAAAATTTTTTGTGTGACATCATTTTTTCTATATTTAAAATACCAAAACCATACAATGATACAATTCACATTATCAATATCTTTCCAAAAATTTAAAATACTGCAAATTTTTAGTTTAATAAAAAAAAAATTTTTAAAATAAATAAATAGCAGCCGTTTTTAAAACATCACCCCATTGAAAGGGCGTTAAAACGTGCAGTATTAAAAATGTACTTCTATTGCAAATTAAAAAAAATGGTGTAATTAAAGTGAAAAAAAAAGCAAAAACTGGGTTAAAATTCTGTGAAAGTGCATTTTTTTGAGATAAATAAGTTTTAACATTCAGCGACCTGTTTTTGGATTATTGAAATTTTAAAAAAATATAAATGCTGTTTTTATTAAAAACTAGGGGAAACTCTTTTTTTTTTCGATTTTCGACATTTCGTTTTAAAATTCTACATTTTTTTTCTTTTGAGTTTCCTCTGTTTCGTTTTTGGTTTGTTTTTGTTTTGATATTTTGATCTACTATTATTGAAATTAACTCCGTTGTAGTGCCAACACATACTAATAAGTGAAGGGGAAAGTTGGGACAACCGGCCGGTCCGTCAGGCGGTCCACTGCATTGTCTCCGGACGATAACTAGAGTTTTGAATGAGTTATTGTGATCAAACTTGATATATATCAACCTTATGTGGAAACCCCAGTTGATTATCTTATATGAAGAATCGGATTGGGATTGCTTTTTGACACCCAAGGGTCAATATCAAGGTCACTGTTACTAAAAATAGAAAAAAATGTTATATAGCAAGCTTATATGAAGATCCAGGTTGGAACTGCTTTAAGTAAAGGTCAAGGTCACTGTTACTAAAAATAGAAAAATGGTTTCTGGAAGATAGGTTACCTTAGTTTATTGTAATAATTATTGGTACACAGATAAAATATAATAAAACTTAGGTCGAGTTCAAATTTTTGCGTCAGACC